TTACAAAATTTATATTGCATGCATATAAATTTACAAAAATAAAGATAAGGTGTCATTGCATGCACCTATCCTCTCTGTGAGAAGTTCTCAGGACAGGTGATTTTCATGGATACTGCCAGAAATGTCAGGCCTATTCAGAGACTGCCAGCTCCTATGAGTGTGGGGCTTACCTCTGCTCTGAGGTGACTCTGGAGAGGAAGGGATCAGGAGCTTTGTCCCAGTTGGCTCAGCTAGGAGGAGAGTGATACAAACCAGCATGGATTCAGTGCAAGTTGCAGTGGATAGGGATGAGGGTTACGACTAGGGTTAGGCTTCTGAAAAAAAAAAAAAAAAAATTATATGAGTCTTTTGGAAGCAGTAGAGGATTTGGAGGAAACTGGAGGGGAGGAATGACAGCTGTCCTTTCTTTTCATCACCTGTGTTCAGGATCTGTTAATAAATTCCTTTATTTAAAAAGTAAAGGGAAACTGTGAATGATCTGTGACATATCAAAATAATCTACAAATATTAAACTTTATTTTCAGAGCTTTTTGCTCTCTCTTTCTCTTTCATTTTCTTTCTTTCTTTCTTTCTTTCTTTCTTTCTTTCTTTCTTTCTTTCTTTCTTTCTTTCTTTCTTTCTTTCTTTCTTTCTTTCTTTCTTTCTTTCTTTCTTTCTTTCTTTCTTTCTTTCTTTCTTTCTTTCTTTCTTTCTTTCTTTCTTTCTTTCTTTCTTTCTTTCTTTCTTTCTTTCTTTCTTTCTTTCTTTTCTTTCTTTCTTTCTCTCTCTCTCTCTCTCTCTCTCTCTCTCTCCCCCTCTTCTTTCTCCCTCCCTCCCTCCCCTAACCCTCAGTAGAGCTTAATCTGTTTTTTTTTGTCTTGTCATTATGAGCCTCAGTTTCAAGGGGGTGGAACAGCCCTGTGGCTGTGGTTAAGGATATGTTTCCTGGGAACTTTTCCCATTGAATTTTCAGAATGAGTTGCTGAAGTTCTCATATGTGAAGTGATCTTTAGCTGAAGACTTGCAGTGGGTGTAAATTGGCATTTGGTCTCTGGCTGTCAGCAAATCTGCACTGCAGGAGGGTCTGCCACTCCATTTCTTTGTGGGGTTTTTTGTTAATTAGCAATTTGAATCAATAGTAAAAAGTATTGAAAACCTGTAAAAACACATATCAAGCCATGTCCCACAGGAGACAATTCTAGATCTAAAATTAATCAATATTTTTTTCTTATTTTATTGCACAGTAGAATAGAGAGTTTGCTTATTAAATTTATAGACTGTAATTACTGCTTTAAAAACAATAATGTATGTTCAGCCTAGTAGATAACTGTCTAAATTCTCAAGGTAAAGTTTTATATGAAAGCTGGGGGTTGTGGGCAAGTGGGAAACCACCTGAAAATTACTTCACAACAAGAGGAGCACCACCTCTACACGTAGCTCATCTTTACATCCTGTTATTTCAACTAATGCGAAATTATCTCCCCTTATATCTGAGAAATGTCTATACTTATGTTATTTGCTTTAAAGCTTCTCTCTCTGCTTGTGCATCTAGAAAATCCCAGCTCTTGTCTCATTTGTGATATCTATCCCTGCCATTCAATTTTCTATTAATCTGAGTCAATTTAGCAAATGAGAAATTGAGGACCAGATAGCACATAATTTGATTACTCATTTTCTCTTAAACATTTACCCATATTACCCATATTACTGAAAACTCATTGTCATTCAGCACTACCATTTTTAGCCTGAAAAAGCCAACACAGAGTCTGAGGTTATAAGACTAGTTCAGAGGGGACCATGCCCCACTGTAGTCAGCACTGATGAAGAGATGATTTCAGGGAGAGGTTCATGTGAAGATATCTGCTCCTCTCTATTGTCATCATGCTTCTCTCTCAGCAGCTGTGAAGGGAACCCACTGCTGTTATTTCAGATGGAGACATCTGCACTGATGTCTGTGTTCCTTCAGAATCTCACCTCTTCTTTATAAATAATGCAACCCTTCGCTTATTCATGTTTTCATAGAATAGAATAGATTCTTTATTGCCCTTTCATGTTTTTTTGGCACTAGGTGTGATTTCTGGGTTTGCTGAGGTACCATTTCCATGAGATAGTGTGTCTTTTGCAGGATGCAGTTAGCTATGGAGTGTCTTATCTAGATCCCAAGCTGCAGGTGAGGAAGGTTTGGCAGAGCCAGGCTGTGTGATTTACAATGGATTTACACCCAGTTGTAATGGTCAGGTTTGGCATTAGAGCTGCTGAGGAACATGGCTACTGAGAGCTGATGGGTGGCAACCAGTGCCTTGGTAACAGCGTGGGAGGAGTGTAAAATGGCCTAGAGCATGGAGAAGCAGAAAGTCATTCAGTCAAAACCATCACCCTGTATTTATTACTTGTCTTTTAGGGAATGATGTTTTGCCTCCTATTTGGAGTTCCTGGGCACTTGCTACCTTCAACCCTTCCTACAGCTCACTCAAAAGAGCCCAACATCTCAAATGATCTCATCCTTTGGGCAGCAGCAGGTTTACATGAATATGAGAAAATGAGAATATGAAAAAGACAACACAACGCTGCCAAACAAAGTTTGTAATATTAATTGTGCGGTATTTTCATGTCTAAAAATCAGAAATTAATGAATTTTCAAGAGCAGCTAATACATAATTTTTTCAATAACATCATAAAATAAACAAATTTTGTATGGTATATGTTTCTGTATGTTATAGGCAATTTTTTCCATGTTCCATATAGATTTAAATGTCATAAAATCACAATAATAATTTTATAAAATCAATATACTGATTAGTATTATGTTAATCTGTTTATGAAAAAGTAGAAGTTTTTTTATAAAAGCTGAAAAGTAGTGGCAAAATTTTTATGCTTCTCTGCCTGCAAAAATAATTGTATTAAGCTGGATGAACAATGAAAGGATGAAATACCCTGTATCGTCATAATTTTACTGTAGTCATGTTTCATTAATCAAATTCATCAGTTTTCCAATTTTCTTTAAAACTCTTCTGACATTTTCAAGGCTATTAAAATACAGGAGAGGGATCAAGAAAGCGGGGTGGTGTGTCAGTAAGAGATCTGGATCTCACCATTGCAGACTTTTAAAAATTTTGGTAGTCTGTGTAAGCTGATCTTTGGAAACTTGTTAAACTTGCTACTTGTGGTAGCAAAATCAGTGTCTGCTCTGCACCTGTTAAGTGCTATCTAAGCCATGTACCGTGAAATCAAGTCCAAGGCATCTCACATTTGGCAGCCCAATTTACCAGCTATTTGGTTATAAATGGGAAAAGGATTTTTCCCTGGTCCTGGACTAGTAATTCTCTAATAGTTCTCCTCTTGGGCTTGAGTTTTCTCCTGAACCTCTGAGTTCTGGATGGGAGTAATTTCTCATGGCCAAATCCCTGAAGGTGTCCTCACCTCCTGCCTTGTCCTGCTCCCCTGCACACTGTGGGCTCACTGTGCCCCAGGATCCTCCTCTGGGGATGGAAAAAGACAGGAATCTTATAATTTGAGCAGAGTCTGAGGGGGAAAGATGGGTCCTGCCAGGCTGTGGGCCTGCTGCTAGAAGTGAAGTGATCAAGGGTGATGGTCTAGGGCCAGCAAAGGAGAAATGAGAGGGAATCCTGCTCCTTTTGTAGTCTAAACCAGGTCCCAGCCATTTTCTTCTGACTCTTTCTGCTCCTTTCCATCCATTTGCTGCCAAGAGCAGGTCTGAGTGTCCTTGGCTACCACTGTGTGACCCTGCTGAACAAACACACCTGGTTTGCCAGATGTGATTGCACAGTCCTTGTGGGAGAAAACATATCTCCTCTGGATTTCGACATCCCTTTGGAGAAGTAGAACAAAAGTTCTGGTTTAAAAAGGAAAACAGGTTCTGCTTTCATCACATGCTGTACACTTTTAGTGCCTTTCACTAAAAGGATCATCCAACTTCCTATCATCTTAATTTGCATATGTTGCCACCTGTAGACAACACTGACAAGTGTAAGGGGAATGCAGAGTCAAGAATGGGAAAAGCAACATCACCCTATAGTGGGCAGGAACAGATGGAGCAGAACAGGAATTAGAAGAGAAACCTAGAAGAGGGAAATTCTTTGTCTTCTGTTAGTTCAACAGGTTTGGCACCTCATCTTGCTTTAACATCCTGAGGATCAAGATACTTCTCTAAAATAAACTTCTTTCTTTGCCTGTTGAACTGAGAAAAAGCTTCTGCCAGATGCTGCAAGACCAACTGAGGGCACTCTGAAGCATTGGTTCACTTTGTGTTAAGAGTTTTGAATCCACCTCTTTCTGCATCATGACATCCTCAAAGACTGTGCCCTCAGTGCATCAGTATCACCTTTCTACTTGTCCTCAGTGGCACTTAACCCTGAGAATCACTGTGGGCATCCATCCCAGCATATCTGACTTTGGTTAAGCTTGCTGCAAAAGCAAAGCATACAGTTTTTTATTGAGATTAAAAAGGCCTTTGAAAATAAATATATTAAAACCATAAATTACTTAATTTGTTGAGATTCCCAGGAATCCTATTAAACAGAAGGTATTGGGAGACACAGGGCATGAGTTTATTTATTCATTGTTCCAGACCAAGTCCCTTATATTTCTTCATCTAATCTGACCTTCCTTGCCAAATAGCAGTAGGTAAAATGGTTCTGGCAGTTACTTTCAGAAGGCAAACATTCCCATGGCCAAAGATCTGCGTAGCCAGAAGCAGAAATCAATATTAAGCTTCTACCATGAGCACAGCAAGGAGCACATAGGAGGTCCCATAGCCTTTCAGTGGTGGTGGATACACCTATGGCCACAGTATCTGCTGCCTGTCAGCTGCTGAACTCCCAGAGGATCTCCTCATGGGCACTGTGAGCAGGTCAGCAAGTGCTGTGTCCCTGCCTGGGTGGAAACTATTGTTCCAGTGGTGTTTGTCAATGGTCTGGTAGGGAAAGGCAAGCAGCCTTGGAAGGATATAAACTCCCCAGTCCATACATTAGCATTCCTTCAGCAGACGCAGAGCACCAGAGATGAAGTTCCTTGTACCAGCTACACTCATCCTGATCCTCCTCTGCCCCCCAGGCACAGGGGTACGTGAATACACCTCTGTCCTCTCTGTGCCCAATGGAGGCCACTGGGGCAAGTGGGGCAGCCGGCAATTTTGCCATCATGGCTACGCTAATGGATTTGCACTGAAGGTAAAATTCTCTCCATTCCCTACCTTCGCCTGTCCCTAGGGATTTTCTGCATATTTTTTCTCTTCTTGAGTATGATACTCTGTACATAAGGCTATGAGTCTTCTGGCAAGTGTTGTCACTGTAGCTACACCAGAAAAGTCTGCGTGTGGCTGATATTGCTGGGAGAAGTCATGTGGGTATGAAAATCTGGATTCTGGGAGAGAGGCATCCACCACCAGTGTCTCTCCTGTGACTCTGAGACTCTGCCTTACCTGTTGGGTCAGAAATAGTTAGAAAACACAAAGAACATGTTACAAGGGTTAGGTGGTTTCCCAGTGGCAGCTGTTTTTTCCAATGTGCTTCCAAAGACATTTTCTCTTTCCCAAGACATTTTCTCTTTCCCGTTACAGAAAGGAGGTGGGACTGTTTCTGACAGGCATGTAAAGGACTTTTCCTGGGTCCTTTTCCCCTTGCCTTTACCTCTGTCCCTGTGTGATTTCCATTGCAGGTGGAGCCTGACCAGTTTGGAAGTGATGACACTGCTCTGAATGGCATACGCCTGCATTGTCAGGATGACTCGACAGCCATTGAGTCCTTGGTGGGGGAGTAAGTGACACTCTGGTTTCTCTCCTGTTTGTCATGCACCAGCTCACAAAACACCCAAATGGTGTCACCATTTGCAGGGGTCTCTTCTCTCTAACGTGCTGTATACACAGTGATGTAGTATAGTGAATTAAAACAAGTGGTTAGGGGTTGTTTTTCATTAATTTTGAGGGTTATTAAACACAGTTACCTCACTTTACCACTTTTTGTTTACCCTTGGATTTTATGCAGAGTACTGTGAACACCTGAAATATGGTACCAGAGTTAGAGTTTTCTTTGGAAGGGTTTCTAGCCATACATCTAGAAACTGCCCTGTCCAAGCCCTGGCCATGCTGCAGGGAACACCATGCTGCACCTCTGGCTGCTCTCCGGCTGCCTGGAGTGTACCTGTCACACATGCCAGGCATGCATCATAAAACATGTGCTTGGGCTGCCCTCAGGTTGCTACCCAATCTCAGGTTTCCTGAGATTTCCTCAGGTTTTTCTGATGAGATATCAATGACAAGTACATCTTTGGAAGGCAAGGAAAATAAAAGGAGAAGGCAAGGGGCCCCCGACTGCAGCAGGAAGCTGTGTCAGAGAAGGGTTAAGCTTCAGAGCAGTGTGACAAGGAGAAGGAGCATTTCCCAAAGCTCACAGAGCCCAGACATTTTTCCATTTGCTTTTTTGTCAGGTGGGGTTCCTGGACCAGCTTCCAAGTTTGCCCTGGAGGCTACCTGATCTCTTTTTCACTGAGAACAGAAACCTCCCAAAGAGCAGGTGATGATACAGCAGCCAACAACATCCAGTTCAGATGCTCAGATGAGGCTGTGCTGGTAGGTGATGGACTGTCGTGGGGCAGCTTTGGCCCGTGGACCAACAGCTGTAAGATATGTGGTCTCCAGACCAAGGTAGAGACCGCACAGGGACTTCAGGACGACACAGCACTCAATGATGTGAAGTTCTTCTGCTGCAGATGAGCACTTGCTCCACCTTCATCACTGCCTAAACATCCCATATCCCCCAGGAAGTGATGTACCAGTAAAGATTTGCTCTAGCTTTATCCTGGGACATGCCCATGATATTTTGACTGCTTGCATCTTGCTGTTCTGGCCAATGCCTTAGATGATGATGTCTTTTACAGCTACTGCTATATCAAATCATACTGCTATAGGCAAATCATTGCATCATGAACTGCTGTGAAAATGCTCAATCTCTACCAATTGCTCAGAGCTGACAGATTTCTCAACTTTCTTTTTCTCTGACTGGCAAGTTTCTTTGAGGTTTGGTCTGCCCATTTTCCCTTATTTGAAGTAATACTTGATCTGTCGATATGACAAACAGGGAAGAATGGGTATTTGAGTCCATTTGAAGCTTCTGACCAAAGCCAAAATGAGTAATGAGAGACAAAGGGTTTGGGTGGGCTCATGAGAGGCGTCAAAGGTTTGCTGTCATTGCCTACCTCTAGCTTAAATTGCCTCAAGGTTTGTACATGCTTTTTGCAAGCAATCTCTTAGCTGCCTGAGCTCCAGCCTTAGGAAACAGGACTAGCTAGTGTGTTTACTCTATGCATTCATCTGTGTGTCACTGAAGCACATGGGTGGGTTGTAGCTCCCCAGGCCTCCCTTGCTGCTGCTTTGCAGTGTGCTCTGCTGGCTCACCTGGCTGCTAGTGCAAGCCATTTTCATGGGACTTGGATTTTGTTTGTCACCTCTGGGCTTCATGCTTTAAATAGAATGGAGGGGAATCCAAATTAAAAATAAACTCTATGTCAGTCATCCATTTCTTATGCTCCAATTTGCTGGGTAAGCTGGAAATTACTACTTTGTTCTGATATGCTAGATGTAAAGAATGTACTCACATTTCAGGGAAAAATAATGTCTGAAGATCATTATCATGCTCTATCAAGCCACTAAGCCTGTCTGGCAAGAGTTTAAGAAGACTTGCTGCCTCTCTCAGCACCTTGTAGGAAGTGCAGCTATCACTATTCTCTCAAAGCAATGCATTATGCATCTTTGTGAGCTTGAAAAAAGGTAGGGGCATGATGCATTCTCCAGGTGACTGCTGGGGTTGGGCTTTGGGGATGTTGTGTCTGGGACCACAGCCATGTGGAACAGCACAGAGCTGATGGTGGACGTTCCTTTTGCCAGTTCACATGCTCTCCTTAGCACATACATCACCACTCTGGCTCTTCAGGCATACAAATTTTTCTTACTGTTGCTTACCTCAAAAAGTACTCAAATAATAACTGTATTTCCTTCCACTGAAGCACTTCAGCAAAGCTTCTGTAGTGCAAGAAGATATCAGAAAAATTCCTGCATTTGAATGATTTTATTTTTTAAAAATTAATATTAAATTTTCTAATCAGACTTCTGCTGCAAATTTTCATGGTTCTGATTTGTCTAATCTCAGGATTTGACTTCTTTCTTAACATTTGGTATTTCTAAATGATTCTTTAACTGCTTTCTGTCCTCCTCTTGATTGCAGACATTTTAAGTGTGCAAATGCTTTATTAAAGAAATGCTTATTTTGTAAAACCAGCCCAGTCATCACTTGAAATACTGATTATTAGCTTCAAGGAACTGTTTTGTAGCTTCCATCTCAATTTAGGAGTTTCTGAAAAAATCCTTATTTATCATATATTCAGCTCTCTCTAAAGATATAAAAGCCTCATCTCTAGCAATTAGCCAAAAGAAAAAAAAAAAAGGCAAAACAAACTCCCCCCACAAAAAAAAAAACAATGAAAAAAACCAACCCGAAAACTGCAACCTTTTTAACAAGGGGAACCAAACTAAACTAAAGCTAAATTCTGATGCTATCACAGTTAAGTGTAGTTAGCAGTGTCCACACCATATCTTAACTTCCAAAATTACTGTTTTCAAGCCCCACAAGAGGAGGACATATTTTAGTTTGCATCTAGTTGCTTGGCTTTCATTTTCCTGTGAAACAGGAATAATTTCAGCTTGCAAACTGACATTCCATATAATTAGTGAGGCAATATTTGGGGACATAAAAATAGCTGCACTGATCCACTGATCTAAGCAAAACAGGCTTAATTTGATGAAAGTGAGCAGGAATCATGGTGACACGATTATCTGCATCATCTTTCCAAAGCCGGGGGAATCCCCTTGTTGAAGCAGAGTCAGCTCCATGCGCTTCACAGAAGTCTTAGAGGGCCAACTGCTGGTCACCTTCCACCAGAGCATGTTGGACAAGCAAAAGCCACCAAGTATTGATAATATGACACTGTGCGATCAGTGTCACCAGCAAATCTCACAACAGGACATTCCAAATGTGTTTGTTTTAGTGTGTGAGTAAGTAATGTTTTTTTGAAAGATATACTGAGTTGTGTGTGCAGCCAGTTTTGTGGGGGGAAAAAGGTCAGGTAGTTCATCATCTCCATATAGAGAAGGTTTCTAAGAGAGTTAGTTCTTGGAATGGCCAGTGCCACTGAGCTGAAATGCTTGAAAGAAGGAATGGCATTTATTTTGAGTGACTTGTTCAAGAAGCAGTATCTGTTTTCTTATATATATACGTATGCACATGTAAATGTAGATGATGGAAAACTGGAGCTTCATATTGTGCATTTCTTCTCCAGAGAGTAATTCAGGCTGGAAGACTCTGATCATCTGCTCTTTCTTTGCAAATGAAAAATTCATTTAAATTTTGAGGTTTCACTGTGGGAGGAATTATTCACAGTGCCAGCAAAACTGACCTTCTGTGCTTTCCTGTTATGCCAGGTGTAACACAGCTTCCTAATAGAGTGTGAATAGATACTCCAAATGAGAGCTCTTCCAAGAAATGTTATTTTCTCATGTACTTACCAGCAACTTGAAAATCAAATGGCTATTTTTTTATCATCTGAATATTGATGAACCAGCTGGGTCTCCTCTGATGGTCCACTTGCAAAACATGGGTTATACACAAACTAGAAAGTAAATTTCAAGCATTTACTTCACTCAGAGTGGAGAAACTACTCTTATACCAGAAATGAAGGCATAAAACCACCATCTAAGTGTGCTGGAGCTAGTGTGGCTGAAAATGTGCGTAGCTGGAATCTGTGAGTGCCTACATCTGCATGACTCAAAAAAGTGACTGTGTGTCTCTGGCACATCTACAAGTCAGGAATATGTTGCTAAAGAACTAACACACAGTCCCTGTGGAATGTTGGTGGAATTAGTGGCAGCACCAAGGACCAGGCAAGAATTATCCCTGAATCTACTGATAATGTGGCAATATTGGATCTGGAGCATGAGTAGGCTTGGGGAAGGCAAGAAGGAGTTTTCCACTGATCCATGCATACTTGGTGCAGCTCCAGGGAGACTGGCAGAAGCAGTAGGCCTGGAGTTTTCCTGAAATGATTTTTAAAAGCCAATTCTATTGAGTAAAACTGAATTAGACCAAGACCAGACCTGCTGTTAGTGGTGCTCCGGTGAACCAAGTTTTGAGTTTGCCTCTGATAAAGACGACCATAGAAATCCTAGCCTTCATGGCCATATTGTTCCTGTTGCACAAGGAAGATAGATATTCCATCCATCAAAAGTGCTTTGAAGCTTAAGTTGTTAGTTTTTGTGAGATGCAGGGGAAACACCTGAAGATGCTTTAGCTACATTTCATTGATAATACTATGCATGATGAGTGCACCATGGAGCTCATGCTCAACCTGTCATAGTTAGCAAGTTTTCCAACCCCATAAAACCAATCTTAATTACCTAGTGTGATTGCCAATGAGGAAACACTAAAAACATCTGGTTTTGAATTTACTGAGTATCATTATTTGGAGATGTTTTTATAGCATGTGAGGAGCAGAGAACCCATGGATCATGAAAAGAAAAACATCAGGACTCTGAAGAGGTGATTGAAGGATTGAATTCTGGCTTCCATGCTCCCCCACAACACTGTGGGCATGACTTTGTCCAGTAGGACTTAATATCTATGGTATTGTGCTTGAACACTTTTTGTCTGAGGAGTTGTTGCGTGGTTTGTATCCACCTGCTCTGTCTTCATCTTTGCAGAAAGGGAGCCTACCCAAGGCAGTCCAGGCTCCAGCAAGTAATGTTAGAAGCTGTTGTCCTGGCAGGAAGAAGGAGTAGCTGGCTCAGTGAAAGCTGGGGGAAACGCATGAGCTGTCTGGCAATGCATAAACATGATTAGCAGCAAGGCAGCAACACCAGATATATAGAAAACATATTGCTCCTGGGCAGATAATGTAGAATCTTTTTGAGAGGCTTTTGCATTTGATGTGTGTTTCCTGAGCTTTCCATGTTCTACTGGAGCAAAACTTGGTAGACATCAGTTGCCTCAAAACCCCTTCCAGCACAGGTTGACTCTGTACTGCTTGCTAAGGCTTGGTGGCTTTGGCAGCAGCCCACTGAGCTGGGTGACATTTGGCTCCATGAGCACCTGGGCCTCTCCAACACAGAGGCTTTTTTGAAATCTCCAGAGATTTCTTTTTGATTACTCAAAGCCAATTCAACAGTAGCAATGGGGTAGAGGTAATTTGGTGCATTTCTTAATGAACATAAAGCAGCAAAATGGGCACCCATGACCTCTTTAGTGATGTGTAGAAAAGGAAAAAAGTGACAGTGCTACAGGAACTTGTGCAAGAGTTTCATAACTCAGTTTGTGAAAAAGAACATTTTCTGAGAGAATGGAACAGTATGAGAAGTCAGGTTACTGTGTGAGCCATTTCAGGACCAGGTCCTGAACAGGCCCAAGACATCCCCTTTGTGTTTCTGCCGTTCTCTTTCTCAGGGGGAGCATTCTGCTGCTGTCCACGAATGACTTAGAAGTCCATGGAGAAAACCGTACATCACTGGCTTCATTGAAATCCAGAAAGGGTCACTCTTACCCTAAAGGAGTCTCTTTATGCATCCAAAAATAATTTAACCAATTTCACTTTTGCAAGTAGTAGAAGTAGATTAAAAAATTAATTCCCCAATCTGATGGTGTGCCTAGAATGACCTTCAATCTTTGCACCAGCATTTTTTTATGTCAGTGAACTTTTTATGGTGAGATAACCAAAAGTTATTTTAAAAACAACTTTCTGTCTCAGCTTTTGCACCTTATCAATAAGACCACCTTTCATAATTCTATTTTATTGCTATAGAATCCACAACATGGCTAGAAGTGCTGTCAATTGGAAACATGGAATAGATTTTAAAGGCTGATTTGAACATGTTCTTTTCTGAGGAGAAAAGACAAAAATAAATTCTCTCTCCTGCTAGCTACACTGTTTGTACTTCACTGTGACAGCAACTTCTGTGTGCTTGCTGGGAAGAGCAGTGTCAAGGGGACAAAGCTTTTCTAATTTTAGAGGAGACTTCCATCTCAGGAAAAGTAGTACCTAAATGAAGAAAATATCACTTCTATAGCTAGTTTTTTCAAACAAATATCTGGGAACACATCTGTGTTTGTGGAAAAAAAAAGTAACTGTGTTTCTCCTCTGGGTCATGCTAGTGAAGTTGCACATCTCTGAAGTAGGGGATAAGTAAGAAAGACATAAACTTAGGAATCATTACTGTATAAACAACCTGATGAAAAATTTCCTTTCAAGTCCAACCAAATGACTGCAACTTTCATTGTGAGATTATAACTCCCATGCTATGGTGCTAAGTAGTTATCCAGCAGTACCTGCTGAGTGTTACTCCTATTAGAGGTGTAAGAAATCCACTGGTGTCCTTCTGGGCTTTAAAACCCAGCTGGAAGTTTATCAATGGGTTACCTCAGAGGTGGCTCACCTTGAATGAGATACAGTGTCACACTCTTGCTTGTTAAGCAGGCTTTTTTATAAGTGTTATGGTTTCCATAGAAACATAACTGAATCTTTCCTCCAGCATAATCCCCAAAAGCTTTCACAGACCTGGAAAATACACAGTGAAC